TAGAAATGAGTTCCACTCTGATTCATCTTAAGCCATGCTACTCTTTCTAAGAGCTGCAGGAGAAAAAGTCAGTAAAGCATTCTAGAGGTTTCTAGTCAACTATTTCCAAATGGTTTATTTTAGTCAGCAAATCTTTACTATCCTGAAAAGTGAAGCTGTATTCTAGTTATTTTGATTCTCCAGTTCCTTATAGTCATTTACACCTGTGGAAAGTCAAAGCAAGAAGTGCAAGATTTCATAAATACTTTGGACCCATTTTACACAAGGTACAAATACATAGAAAAAGTTGATAACTGGGGATCCTATGTCTCCCTTTTCTTCCTCTTTCCTCATATCAAAAATAATATCATCTTTATTTACATGGCCTCAAACAGTTTCAAATATGTAAAATATACATTTTTTTTTCAGAAGCTTACATACATGTGGTTGTAAGGATACGGATATAAATGGTCTTGTACAGTACGGGGTTTGTCAAGTAGCAAATCTGCTGGAGCTCCATATCCACAGCTGAAACTGTACCAAAGGGAACAAAGTTAGATAAAGTCATACATCTAACTGCAAACAGTCTCTATATTTCATATCCAATATTCCTAATCCAGATGAGGTTGAAAGTTAGAAGCCAGGGAATCCAGATGCACAAGAGGATAAGCAAAGAAGAGGCACTAGAGTCGATGGCTCAGACAAGACAAGAGCTGGACCGAGCTACTTCACAATGTGAGGTGTTGAGCAGCCAGAGCCCGAATGAAGGGCCTGGCCTTATATACTTTGCCCAGCTGCTTTGCAGCCAGTCACCCTGATGTTTCCAGATGGTGCTGCTCTTAGGCCAGGTGGGTCAATTTGTCCTTTGTGGGTGTGTTCAGACAAGTATGCACCTGCGGTATCTGGTGCCACACACCCATCCGTGGTGTTGCATACTGCACATGCCACACAAACAAGCGCTCCCCATGCTGCTAATTTGCAGTGTGAGGGGTTTTTTGACACTGGGAGATCCTGGCACCAAAAACCCTGCACCTGAAAAAGTGGAGCGGCACATGTGGCAGCAGTGTATGCTGCCTGGAACTGGAGCCTGGCCATCTGGAGCCACAGTATGGCTGCCAGCTAAGCTCCCTGCTTCCAGATCACTACTGCTGGAGCCCCAAGAGGCCCCACAGGCAGTGACATACTGTGGGTCTCCAGAGCCCGGGGACCAATGCTTGCATTTGTGCCTCCCTCACCCCCTGCCCTTCTCATTGCAATACTTAAAGTCACGTTGCATAATACAAACTCCGAAGGACCTGGCCAGTGCCCCTCCCTGCAGGCCGGTGCCCAGGGGCCAGGACCCCCTTCCACCTCTTCTCCCCCGTCTTTCCACCATTGCCCCCAGGAGCTAATGTAAGGCTGCTGGAGTGAGCCCAGGTGCTGGCCCCAGCCTCCCCTATCCGACCTGAGGCAGCTTGCCATGTGCAAGAGCATATTGTGCCACTGCTGTTTGTCCCCAGCGAAAAGTATGTCCATGCTTATCTAGACATGCTCAGACAAAGCTTAGCATGCAGCATTTGGGATAGGCCGGGCATAGACTATACAAGTCATTCACAGAATATGAAATATGCACAATAAACTGAACTTTCACAAAGAGATGAAAGACAAAAACATAGAACAAGAGTAACAACTTGTGTGTCACCTAACTTTGCAAATTAGTTAGCCTGATAATTAACTGCCTCATCCCTGTCTTGAACCAAAGTGGCAGGGGAAGAATTCACACCTGGTTTAATGGCATCCTTCTGTCTACAGCTGATCTTCGTGAAATTCCATGGATAAAAAACCAGTGTAGTTTTAAAGTCTCCTGAGCTTCTATGCCAATAATTAGGTACACAATACTCTTCCATGTCATAAACCATCCTGGCTTAAGAGATCTTTGGTTTGACAGGAAGACAAACAAGACTAGGAAAATAAGGAAGGAAACTCAATTTTTTGGTAAGCTGCCATTAATTTACATTGTGTCTTATATGACCAACAAGAACATACAGACTTGTGCTGGTGGCAGTATCTAAATGTTGCACAAGTATCTGAAAGGGGGAAAGTACAGCATTGTGACTAGATGGATATTTTTGGTTCCTTAAATGTTCTGTTCTTGCCATCTGTATAACATTCACTGCTTGTTTAAACTTACTTACAGACAAATATATTGTTTATTGGAAAAGGGCACACTGGAGAAACTGTGTACAAGGAACTTAACAAAAATAGCTTGAAGGGCAAAAATGCACAAACATATGGAAAGAGGCCAAATAGATCGGCAATTGTGAGTGCTTTATATTTCACCTTGGTTGAGTTAATGGTCTCCCAGTAAACTGATCGAAAGTTTTCTTCCCTAATAGTATTAGGATAAAAAATCTATAATATGTGGATAAAATCTTTCATATTCCTATAAATTAAATAGCTTCTAACATTTTTTATTAAAATAATGCCACTCTCAGATAGATTGAATGTTCTGCTTTATCTAGATTAGATTCTGTTACTTACTATAACATTGTAGTTCTTTCATATTGCATAATGCAGATTTTCAAGGACAACACCATGAGAATTTGGAGGGCTGACTTTCTTTTCAGTTTCTCTGTAACCAGGCAATTAATTGTTGAATGAAAAAATGGAAAATATATTTCTCCTTGTAACATGGCATGATTCACCTACTAAGGAAGCAATTTTATAACAATGAATTATGAACTGATCACATGACCTTGAAGTGCTCTAAGGTTTATATTAAGTGGTTGACAAAAGTATTATATTTATCTCTGCACTATAGTGTAAGGGCAGGATGTAAATGTTCCACTACAGTAATCAGTAAAGTCATCAGACCTAAACAGATTTGATTTTCTCTTGGAACACATCAACTGACAAATGAGTTCAGTGGGGCTAAAAAAATCACTTGACCCACTGGCAGACTTTGAAATGTCTCTCCAGGAGAAGTAGGTAAAACCTGTTTTTCCAGTTCTTACTGTACTGAATAATCTCATTGATTTCAATTAGGTTATGAACATCACATTTGTTTTAAGAGAAAGCCTTTTATCCTGGGATTGTATAGACATATGTGTCTACTGTCCTGCTTCAAGTCCCTCTGTATTGGCTGGGTAAAATGTACTAACACTTTTTCTCAGCACATCCTTTTATGTCTGCAGTTACTGAGGTACATTTCAAGGACAAAAGGTCAGGCTGTGTCCTCTTGCTGGCCACCCGCTGGCAAAGAAATAGCCATGTAGCCTGGAAAGGCGATATGACTGAGCCAGGTCAAACCACGAGACTATCAGTTCCAGGTCAAATGATATGTTTACAGCTTGGGAATGTGTTGTGCCTACTAACATAACTAGACTCAGTGACTTCCAAGAGTCCACTTATGTAATAGGTGTTGTGTTCACCTCTGGTTTCAGATTCAGATTTTATATTTTCAATACACTTTGAGTGAGAGCACTACAAAAATATTAAGTACTTTACTGAAAAATAAAGGGTCTGAATCACTAGTTCATTAATTCATGTCTGCAGTAATATAACTCCAGAGTTACACCAGTGAAAAACTCAATCCATTTCCACTGGTATAAACCTGAAAGAATGTTACAGTGAATTGCTGTCTGACTCTGTGTACAATCACTTTGTGTATTACATGTATAGTATTTGTTTAATTGTTTTTAGGGATAAAATGAAGGGTTTTCTTTTTCTACTCCTATAATAATGAACACTGCTTGTAATTAATTTGGATATCAATTGCCTGAGTCGAACACTGTTTTTGGTAGTCTGTGGGTTAAGTTACCTACTTGAATGGATCATTATTCATAATGAAAGAAAGTAGAAACAGATGGAGACTATTTTAATATACACACATCATTACTTTAGATAAAATTGACATTTGGAGAAATTTTAGACTTCATGACTTAACTATTTTACCAGAAGATAATACTGGAGGGCAGCTGATAGGGGTTACATGAGAACTAAAGAAGTGAGTAGGTTTGCAAATGAGTTTTTAACATTAATTTTCAGAGCAAGATCAAAATGCACTTAAATAGAATACCTTTACTTACTATTCTTCAATGATTGTATGGAATTTAATATTATAGATCTATTAACTAATCACTATGCACTAATATTTCAGTGGATATATTCATAATCTTAAATATTGCACTTGCTAATAAGTATTTGCATTATGGGGCCCATTGCCCTCAACTAACTCCCCTATAAAGCAGGTAAATAGTAGTGTCCCAATTTTGCAGAAAGAAATAGAGAAGCTGAAGCTTCAGTGTTTGTCAAAAGCCATAGAGGTAACCAATGCAGCACTGAAATTAGCATTTAGAAGTTTTGGCCTTCGAGTTCTATGCCCACAGTCATCTATTATGGTTATTTTTTCTTTCATTATAGTATTCATCGTACAAATTACCCATAACATCTCATGGACTTTGAGAATGATTCCATCTGTGGAAAGCTGTGACAAAAGTCAATGGACACTGCATCATAACAAAAGTAACAGCAGTAGGGGAAACAAGTAGACTTTATGAAAGACAAAAAGGGCACCAAATGAGTTGCTTAGAACAGGTTTAGATGGAGTAAATCAAGAGTCATTTTGTGGAATGTGTATGTCACTCGTGCTACACCTCCTTCTAGGGAGTGTGTTAAGGAATGAAAAGAGTAAGTATAATAATAGCCATCTAGTGTTACTTAGAGCAGCCCATAGGCTGCTGTAGTTGCTATTGAGAGCTCTTTTGGCCTTCAGGGGCCCTAGGATTGGGAGAATAGAAATGTGGATTAGACCCACGTCCTTCATGAAGTGCACCAAGTACAAATGCTAACTCTGGGTGCAGATAATAGAGAAGATGTGGATAATAAATCATACAACAATGGGATTTTTTGGTATTATTCCATATCCAGGGTTACTGGCAATGTCTAAAATCTGGTAGTCATAGAATAACTAGAAGACATGTCCAAAAACATATAAATAAATACAGATACCATATGAAAGAAAAGTATTTCTAATATGAAAGTTATGGTAGAGCAGTAATGTTTCTTCAGGGATTCTCTGTATCCTAATTTTGTAAGGTACTTATTACTCCCACAAAGTTTTGAACTTCTGCAAGTGAAGTTACTGGCAAGAGAATGATCAGTATTGTACAGGATCAAACTACAAAGGACAAAGCAGTCAGACTATGGATAAAAGATTACATGTCTTTAGAAACATAACAAAGAAAACTTGATCAGAGCAGATAACAAAACAATCACTAGTGAAGAAAAGATTTCACGCCTGTGGACTGAATGTAGAAGTCCTGGGTGCTGAATTGTGAGGGGGATGCAAAACTAATATCTGCTGCCTCAGCCATGCAATCAAGTTAGTGTCATGGAGGCAGCTGGAAGTCACCACTGTCCCTATTTGTCCTGCTTCCCTGCATGCCCCGTTGCTCTGGGGCAGTGTGTTGAATGAGTGATTAACTTATGGAATTCTTTAAATAGCCAAATATATATATCTCAAGAAGCACAAAAAATCTGAATCGCAAGGATGAGGAATATGATAGCTTGTGTTTTATACTGATATGGATATAGCAGAGGTTGGTTTGCCTTTGTCTGGAAGGAAAATTGTTGCAACTTAATGACAGGGTCACCTATTGCTTTTTAAAAATTGATATTTTTTTCCACTCCAATCAAAGAAAAAACTCCCATAAGATGTAAATTAATTCTGACTATTCAAAATGATTTTAGATGGTGTTTTTCATTGTGGATGCTAAAGAGGAAGTTTTCAAAAATTCAGTAGGTGACTGAGAAAGGGTCAGTCAATCATGAAAAAGATTTCAAGGCAGCTGCATCAATTTACAGTAGGTGAGGCTTTGGCTCATGGTCTTCTTAAAGATATAGTTATAATATGCAAATTAATATTTTCAAAGACGGGCAGGAAAATAGTGTATGCTAGGTGCATACATCACATCAGCAAATAATGGTATTTGAAAATGTATTTCCTATGCAATACTTTGACAATCTACCTGGGAAGAAGTAACAGATGACAAAGGCAATTTAATGCAGGAAAATGAAGAATTATGATAACTTTGAGTCTTTATCACATGTCTTTACGCATCATGCCACATGAGGAATGAGAAGGGGAAAAAAGAACCTGAAAATAGGGTGTATGGCATTGTGTGGATGAGTTCATAACTTGTCTTCAATGCATGATCATTAAAAAAAGGCAAAAAAGCAACTATCTTGACTCATCAAGAGAACTTTTACAAGACTTTAATAGACAACTCTAGGCCTGAAATAATATATGACAGATTAAAAAGAGTAAGACAGTGGTAAAAGCAACATAAATTGAGAAACTTATTGTTTCCACATGAAATGTAGGACTCTGAGTCAACCACATGAAACATTAGGAATGCATATAGCATAAACATATTCACAGAGAAGAGATTTTTAATCAATTTCACTAGAACAGTGAAAAGTCTTGAATTAGTCATATTCGCTGTATGAGAAGCCTATACATGGAACCGTGGTTAAAGCTGATGGGCCAGATCTTCAATAAGTATAAATCATCATAGCTTCACTGACTTCAGTGGATTTATTTCAGAAGAGGATTTTACCAGTATAGAAAACCATATACTTGATCTCACAGTCAGAATACTATGTATACCCCTCAGTGTGCTTTAGAAATCCTTTAAATAAGTAAAAGCACAATCAAACTTGAAGACAATAACTTTTATCTATGGGGTTGCTTCTGGTCATAAATGTCTACTCTTGTTCTGCAACCTGAAGAGTTAAACAAGAGCCTTGATTAAGGTGACTTAAAAGAGAGTGGTTGATATCCGCTTGCACATTTAATTTGTTTATAAGACATGACCAAAAACTGAAACTGAACAAGAAACTATACCTTTTACATTGAAACGAATCTCTCTTCCTGCTCTCACAGAATGAAACACACAAAGTATAGAAGGAGGATTTACTTATTATTAGTTGTTGTGACTCTCTCTTCTATTATTAGGCAGAAGGCAGTGCAGGGTTGCACCTCCAAAACTAACTTATTCAGAGAAATATAGCTTTCTTAGGCTACAGCCTACTTCATCATATCCTGCCAATGGACTTGTAGAGCACAGGTGCACTAAATAGAAAGGAAAGATATATAAATATAAAGAAGTCAGGGCAGAATGGCACCTAATAGACTAACTCAGTCAGAGATCATGAACTTTTAAAGACAATAGCCTACTTCATCAGATGCTATGAAATGGACTGTGGTCTATAAAGTGCCATCCTGCCTTTGCCTTCTGCTTAACTTCAGATTAACACTCTCTTTAAATACAAAGGACAGGGAAAGGAGGAGGAAAGGAAAGGGGGATGTGGCACTGCTGAGAGACATGAAGATGGGCTGAAGAGATTAAAAAGGGATAAACAAAGCAGTTACAACACCAAGGGACACAGGGCTCATAAAAGCTATCTCATTAATGGGATAAAAATATAGTCTGTTGAGACCATGCACAATCCAGTCTGTAGATGATTTCATGTTCCTCACTTTTCCGTTAAAGTGATTTTTAAAGTTTTTTTGTTTAAGAACAGTTACTCTGCAGTCAGCGATGGACTGTCTGGGAATGTTCTGTTCTTCCACAGGCTTTTATGGTTTCCTGGAACTGATGTCAAATCAGAGTCCACTCTTTTCTCCATGTAGGGATTGCCCTGTCTGTTCCATGTAGACAGCAGAAGGGCACTGTAAGAAACCCTCTGATGAAGGCAAAAACATCCGTGACTAAACCATCAGATAAACTCCTGTCCAACCTATTTTTTAATATTTCCAGCAATGGAGATTTCAACACTTCTCTAGGTAGCTGGTTCCAATGCCTGACCATTCTCAGAATCAGAAAAAGTTCCTCCTAATCTCCAACCTAAATTTCCTCTGCTGCAGCTTGAGGCCATTGCTTCCAGTCCTGTCCTCCCTGAACAAGTACTAAATGATTGTGCAGTAATCCAAGTTAATGTACAGTAGTGCCAACGGGCATCTTTTTTGTGATGCTACTGTGCAGTAACCTAATACTACTGCACAGTAACATTGTGTCATGGTTTTTGCCATGTGACACTACTGCACATTAGTATTTGGCTACTACTCAGTCAGAGTCTCATGTAGACACAGCCACTGTCACCCAAGTTACCTCCCACCTTCACATTTTCAAACAACTCCTCCCAGATTGTGAGCAGCAAGTTGAGAAGAATGTCCCCCTCCAATGGCTTATCTACCATTTGTATCAAAAAGTATCCCCCAGCACACACCAAGAAATTGCTGGACTGCTTGTACACTGCTGTGTTTCCCTCACAGCACATCCTGATAACTAAAATCCCCCATGAGAACTAGGTCTACCTGTAACAGACACTCACCTTGATGACATCTGCTTCTCCCCCCTCTAACCTTCACCCAGAGGCTTTCCACAGGCTTACCTTCCACTTTGTACTCCACCTCAGAACATGTGTACATCACATGCACATCACTTTTATATATAAGGTAATACCTCCTCCTTTTTTCTCCTACCTATTCTTCCTGAACAAGCCAGTCATGCTTAGTTAGCCATGTCACATAAACTATTCTACCATGTTTCCATAACCTGTGTTTTTACTAGGACCTTCAGCTCTTCCTGTTTATCCCCATACTTCTTGCATAGTAAAAAAAAATTTCAAGTATCAAACTAATTGTCCTATTTTTACCCTGTGAACATTGCTAAAACTTCCACTATTGTTTCCCCTCCCTAAGTTTTTTCAGGTCCCCTGGTTCTTTACTTACTTCTGGATTTTTGTATCTATCCCCCAGTGAACCTAATTTAAAGCCTTAAGACTTGAATACCTTGGATACATCATTAATGACCCCGATCCCTCCTGGAAACTAATGAATTTCTCAAGTAAGGTGCACCCTCTCCCTTTTCTTTTCAACTACTTTCTCTATCCTTTCTATTTAAATTACCTTATTCCTTTCTATTTTTTACCCCTGCTCTCTGCAAGTCTGTTCACAAAATCTTATGAAGTAGTTTGTATCCTATGAAAGCTTATGCCTTTCTGAACAAGTTAATCTTGAAGGTGCCATTCTGCCCTTTCTACCCAACTTCAGAATAACATGAAAGAGATAGATAGTTAGCTACCTCTCTCTTCTTAGTTACCTTATTCCTAAACTAAGTTTCCTTTGATGTGAAATGTCCAACATTTAGCCAGATTCTAATATACCTTACCAATGTCCACAGTACTCAAAAAGGACCCTTCACAGATTAAGGGCTTATTTAACTTGATTAATAAAATGACAACCTGTATATAATAATCATAGCCAAGGAAAATGTTTATCTGTAACTGTTAGATTGTAACTAAGTATTAGAAGCAACTTTGTTATAAATTTGGCCACTGCCATTAAACAAAAATACTGTATATTCAGTCATGGAAAGAAACAGATAAAAGAGCCAGATACTAAGATGAGATAAGGTCCTGTCTACAAAGGGAAATTATTTCATGTTTTGGTGGATCACAGATTACATTTAAAAGAGTAAACATTATTCTGCATTACCTACATTTAGAAGTGGATTAAGGTCATTTGAGGAAAAAGGGTATTCTTATCCTGGAATAAGATTACCCCCACAGAGAATTACTTAGGAATAGCTCCATATGTAGACAGTCTTGAAGATTTTCCAGTGGAGCTACTGCCAGTGATGCCATCTGAGAATAGAATAATAAAATCATAGAAAGTTCGTGTTGTAAGGTATTGCAGGAGGTCATCTAGTCCAAATCCCTGCTCAAAGCAGGACCATCCCCAACTAGATCATCTTAGCCAAAGATTTGTCTAGCCGGGTTTTGAAAACCTCCATGGATGGAGCTTCTACCACCTCTCTGGGTAACCTGTTCCAGTGCTCTACTGCCCTGCTAGTGAGAAAATTCCTCCTAATATCTAACCTAAACTTCTTTTGCTGCAACTTGAGACCATTGCTCCTTGTTACATCATCTGCCACCACTGAGAACAGTCTATCTCCATCTTCCTTCCAACCCCCCATCAGGTAGTTCAAGGCTGCTATTAAGTCCCCT